TGCTCAGCAAACCAGCACTGCCCCTGCTCCTCTCTCCCTCACTTGCTCTGAGCTTTTATACAAACAAAAAAAACATTGTCAGGTAATACTTCGTGAGGGTCCAGGAGTTGCTGCTCAGTGCTCGTGTTCCCCTGCCCTTTTGATGAGAAGAGTTTTTTGTTTGCTTGTCAGACCTGAGTATCTGTCTATAAACATTTTTTAACAATCATGTGGGACCCCCGACGCTGTCATAGCTTTCTGAAGCCTGAGTCTTGCTCAGAGCTTGATGATCAGTCCACAAATTAAACTCTTGGCCAAACATGTACGACTTGAGTTTATCCAAAGTCCAAACAAATCAGATACTCCTTCTGGACAGGAGTCAAATTCTTTCCTTTGGTAATAATTTCTCATAAATTCAGAGAAGCAGTATGTTTCATGTTCTCAGAGTTCTTATAATCACATTCAATCTGGTATCAGTTGCATCAATTGCCATAATGAAGGGTTTTGAAAAGTCTGAAGCTTCCAAAATGGATAAAGAAATCAAAGCTCGTTTGAACTTTTGAGAAATATCTCAACACTGTAGGATCCAAAAACTTTAATGAGTTTGCCTTCTCTTTGTTAAACAGCACAACAGAACAGCTACAATTCTAAATGAGGAAAATTCTAAGGGATCCTGCAAAGGAGATGTTTTTTGTTTTGTTTTGTTTTTTTAATTAATTGTAGAGAGTTTGCCAATCTCTAATAGAGTCTACTTTATCCCACAAGAGATCCCAGATCTCAAATATCTGACCTACGAAAGCCCAACGGGCATTACTAAATTTCATACAGTTCATGGATGGCTGCAAACCTCAAATTAGATACACCCTCACATTTAGAAATGAGGTCATCGAATGTCATTCTCTGAAATCCAGGAGAAAAAACAATCAAGAAAACATTAGCCACCATGATATTAGTCACATAAGATTAACATTCTAAAGAAGTAATAAGCCTTTAAGAGGTGTTTTGTAAATTTATGGTTGATGTTCTTGGGATGTCCTCAGATCCCAGTATAGAGAATCAAATCTCTATAACGTAAGTAATGACCATAGCTATCGTTTGTTGAGCAGCTACTATGCGTCAGGTACAATGCCAGAAATCTGCACTTGCTGTTTCGTTAATCTTCACGACAGGCTGATGAGGAGACTCTGGCTTTGAGGGTGTGGAGGTACAAGGGGGATGAAAGTTCTTCACTATCATACAGCAAGTGCCTCTGCTGGGACTCTCGCCCAGGTCTTCTCAACTCCAAACTATGCCATTAATGGCAGAAGTGGTAGAAAAATGGTTCCGGGAAGTTGAACAAAAAGACGGTTAAGTGAAACACCTTTTAAAAGTCTTCAAAAGCTTGGAGATGAATTATCCAAATCAGTTACCCAGACGAAAACATCTCTAGAGGGAAGGAAGGTTACTCCTTATGGCCTCCTCAGCCCACGAGGGATATTAAGAACAAACAATTCCCTTGGACCTAATTTAATATTCACCAAATCTTCTGATCTTTAATTTGATCTCCTAGGGATGCCTTTCCACCAGGAGGAAGTACTTTGTGCATATGACCAGGGCTGGTCAGCTGCCAGCTTTATTCTCGAGAATAAAATAATAACTCGGTCAGGAGGAGGACATTTAGTATCTGCTGAGTGGAATTCCTGGGAATCAATTCCTAAAAAGATCAGCTCTAAAATGGTGTTTCTGATCTGACAAAACCAAGGATTCGATCTTGGGTCTTCAATGATCTCCATCAAAATGTGTACATAGTCCAGAGGGCCCACTTTCAAATAGCCTCCCAAGCTCGCTGGCCGTCTTAATGACATCGATATAGGACCATTTGTAATGAGTGGCATTAAGAGACTGTCATATTGCATACTCATGGTCTGGCCAAATAGCTATGGGATGAATACGGAATGTCACAACAGCCCATAGCATGTTCAATAAGCCATTAGCGAGTTTTAAAAATTAATCGGATGAATCCCCTACACAAAGGGGTTCTGTAGGAGAAGCCATGAAGCTTTTAAAGGACTAACGTGCCCACAGTCTCCTTCTCAGGCAAGCCACCCCTGGAGATTCTCTCTACAGATAGACCGCCATGGCTAGAGCCTTGTGCACTAACTAAAAGCAACATCACCACATTGTACTCAACCGATGAAAACAGAAACCCATTAGTCATGGTGAGACCCAAGGTAAAAACGACCTTGAGGGAGGCTATCTGCTTCTGAGGCCACTGGCATGAAGCTCCACATCCATCAGGAGAGCTCCTGATCAGATAGTGACAAGGTGACCTACTACTACTTAGACTCTCTCTCAGGAGGAGGAACTCTGAGGTAGACAAAGAGAGCATAGGTTGTTCCAGATCACGTACCAAGTAGCTGGGTCAGGTCTCCATGAGACTCCTAGATACCCTAGTCTTAGAAGCCTGGGAGGCTTAGAATACAGAGCTTCCCCTCTGGACAGCTTACTCTTTGACCTGAATTAAATATATCCCTCAAAAGTGTTATTTCTGAAACTTAACACAGGGTCTGCTTCTGAAATTTTATACTTGAAGTTGTCCTTTGCAGAACTCTTAAAGAACTTCTTAATGTTTATTTTCAAACACCAAATATTTCAATCATTAGAACCCCCATCTCCTTAAGTCAATTTTTCGTCTTCACTTATTCACCGTCTACCAGGGACACTGTACACAGAGTCACGAAGAGTAGGATTCCACCCCCCACCAGGAACTGTGTTTCCTCCTCACTTTAATGCTTCGCTTCCTTAGCGCTTTGTTTTTTTAATGCTAAAGCTAATCTTATTTGTAATTTACATGCATGCCAAGCTTAAGTTTACTCATTAAACACTAAATTTGGAGTTGCTCAATAACTTTTTACAGGCTGACCTCTGGCACTCTCATCCTCTTTCAAGGGCACCATGATTCTTTTCAAAGGACTCAGATTTCAGAAACACTTGAAATGTAGAAGAACGTTTAAAACTGAGCTGTGAAGTGACGTCTCCAAACTTTGTTATTTAAAAGTCTTAAAATATTTATGGCTTACACTCACGTGCATTAAATAAAATCTTAAAATATGCCTCAGAAAGGAAAGCTAGCAGTTGTTTACTATATAGCAAGTATGATAGTACATGCTTTGTTTGTCCTCTCTCATTTAATCCTCACAGCAATCTTTTGAGGTGGACAGTATTATTTTAAACAGATCTTGAAGTGGGAGGAGAAAAATCTAGGCCCAATATGTACCAAGGTGTTTTTCTTACTAGTGGGCAACATCAGGAAGTTGAGAATGGGATGCTCTGCTTTTGAGCCCTGATCTGCTACTTACCATGTGTCCTTGGGCATGTCATTTCCCTTTATTTTTATTTGCAAGGGGTCCCAGCCTCAGCAGAACAAGCTCTCTATCATTTCGCTATTATGGTTTCAATTAGTGTATCTTAAAGACCTTGCATCTTTAAGCATCTCTTTTTGAAAGGCAAAAACCATGGGGAGCGGTCTTAGGTTAGTACTTATCAGTTAATGCTTTAATAAGGATTACTTGATAGCTGAGGACAAGAACGGAACCTAGATTAGGCTACTGGAGATGGAAAAGTATTGACTGCTGGTGGACCAATGAAGGTTGGATGACAACTCAAAACAAAGACTTCACCTAAATACATTTTACGTGGATTTGCTGGGCTCAGGATATGCCTTAGAAGCTGGTGTGAAGGCAGAGAGCAATGTTGTGTGTGTAATACACAGTCTCATCTGGCCGAAGTATGAGTGAAGTGTTGAGGGAGGAAAACCAAGCAAGCGAGCAAGCACTGGGGAAGAGCATAGGGAAAGCCATAGTCAAGAGTTTGGACTTCATTCCAGAAGTGGAAGAGTCTTTGAAAGCTTCTTAGCAGGGGACCAATGACGTCCAACCTATGCTGCTTATAGAATAGGGGAAATGGTGGGGAGAGGGTGTGGAAGACGGGGCCCAGGGTGCGGGTAGAAGGCCCTTACAATAATCCAGTCATGAGGGCATGGAGCCCCAAACTCAGGTGGCGGTGACAAGAATAGAGAGAGAGTGGCGCAGTGCTGCAGAGGACATGGCCACCAGCCGGATGTGGGACAGTGCTGAGAGGATACCCAAGCCACAGACACTTAGGGATTCTGGGCACTGAGGAAAGGTCCAAGAATTTCTATTCTCCTTTTTCCCTATTCTCTGCTCAATCAAAAACGCCCTAACTTGATATCAGCTGGCAAATCACTGACTGAGTGCCTAAATATGCAAAATAAATGGAAGAATCATCTTTGCCCGTGAAAACCACAGACAGAAATAAACCTGGCAGAGACAGGGCGAAGCCCTGTGGGCACTATTCTAAACCTCTGCGAACTTCCTTCCTTGGGAAAGGCGGCCATTTCTGATAACCGGGAGGTTACTGGGTTCTTATCTCGGTTCTGATGGGGTGCCACCCTTAATTAGTCATTCGCGTCTTCCTTTTTATGTTGGAGCACGTATTTCAGAGATCCCCTGCACAGCTCAATCAAACTCCACGGCTGCACTATTTCCCCTCTACCCATGTATTGCCTTTATTATTATTTTACTCCAATTAAAAATATTTTCTCCTCTCGTTTTCTAACTCATTCTTTATAAAGCACAGCACTGATTCGGGGCAGGAGAGAAGGCTTGGGTCTTAAGGTCTGGACTTGGACATCTAGACAAAGCCAATCACTTCCTCCCTCCTTCGGCATCTCGTCTCCGCCCGCTGCCATCACGGCTTCGCGACCGCATCCCACTCGTTCCCACGGCAACCGGCGGGGCGCCCACGTCGCGCTCAGGACCGCGGGGCCGCGCCCCCGCGCCCCCGCCCCCACGCCCGCGCGCAGAGGGAGGAGGCCGGGTTGCCAAGGAAACGGGAGGACGCCAGGCAGCCGCCCCCACCGCCTCCGCCCCTAGAAAGGCCGGCCGCCGCCGCGGAAAGCGCCTCCGGGGAGGAGGAGGAAGAGGGGCCGGTAGAGGGAGGGGGAGACGAGAGCGGAGGAGGAAGAGGAGCCCCGGACGGCCCCGCGCGGGTGATGGGCGGCTCCTCAGCCCGGGACTAGCCTGCCTGCCCCGCCCCTCGGCCCCTTAGCCCCTCGCCGGGGAGAAAGGACTGACCCGCCAGGTAACGGCCGGCTCGCCCCGCCCGCCCCAGCCGCGCCGGCGACCCAGCGGCCCCTGGTCCTCCGAGGGGGTAGGGGGAGGAGACGAGGGACCACCTCTCCTTCCGACTAATACGATTCCGGAGGGAAACCCGGCCTGAACCCGGCCGCTTGGCCACTCCCGCCCTCCGACTGGCACAGCCCCCGTTTTTTCCTTCTTCGAAGGGACAGGGTTGGGGGACTCTGTTTGCACACGGGCAGCCGCCCCGCACCTACCTGCACACTGCCCTGGTTTGCAAGTCCAGGACAGGTATACACGGCCTCCGAGTGCGTCATTGTTGATAATATTATTATTGGGAGCACCGAATTGCTTTTCAGTCCTGTGACATTACCAACCACTCACCAAAGTTTCCCAATTACACACTGATTCTCTCCCTTCTGGGCTTGAAGGTCAGTGTGTGACCGCCCATCTCTTTCACAGTTTCAGTATAAAATAGTCACCCCCCCCAACCCCCGCAAGGAGCTTTTCTTACAAACAATTTACAGCCCCCGGCCCCCATTTCCTAAGCCAAATTGGCTGGAACCGTCAAATCATCTCCCCCCAACCCCTCGCAAACCCCCTTCTTTCTCTCCTGTCACAGAAACCCTCAGCACTGGAGAGTGAGGAAAATTAGGCCCAACACTCACATTTGTTGCTTATACTCAAGACATTTTAAAAAGATTTTAAAACTCTATGTTTTTTTTTTTTAAGCTAAGATTTAAACAAATCCTGTAATATTTGTCATCACAAATTAATTAATTATGTAAAACAATGACTAAGGTCTCCTGAATCCTTCTAGGCACCCAGTTGTGGGAAAGGAGGAATTTCTTTTTATTCTTATTTTTTTTAAGTTACAGTTGATGTGCAACGTATTAGTTTCAGGTGTACAACACGGCGATTAGACATTTATATAACTAACCAAGTGCTACCCTCAATAAGTCTAGTACCCATCTGACACTATACATAGTTATTATATTATTGACTATATTCTCTATGCTGTACTTTACATCCCTGTGACTGTTTTTATAACTGGAAATTTGCACATCTTAGGGGAAATTTATAAACTGAATTGTCAGGTATTAATATAGCCATGTAGAAATTTTGTTTCAAAGGAAACTTCAGCCTAAAGAGGGGCTTAAATTTGCATTTTATTGCTGAACCAATAAAATACTCACTTTAATGATATTTCTACTATGAGAACATAGTAAGAAAACAGTAAAATACTTGTTATTAAAAAGAACTCCCTTCAAATAAATTGACAAATGTGGCCATAGAACAGAAAAGTGTGTGTGTGTATGTATGTATTATTTTAAAGAACTGAAAATATTTCTGCAATCAGATTCTGTTCTTCTTAGTCAGGGAAATTGGTTTGAATTCATTGGAAATTTACACCAGAGAGGAATGCATATGTCACAAAATTCTTAGAATATTCCTCATTGAAATTTCACAGATATGTAGAATTTTGAGGCCAGGAAGAACCATTGGCTCTTGCTAAGCTGACTCCATTCTCCCAAGAACTGAAAATTTTTCTGCAATCAGATTCTGCTCTTCTTAGTCAGGGAAATTGGTTTGAATTCATTGGAAATTTACACCAGAGAGGAATGCATATGTCACAAAATTCTTAGAATATTCCTCATTGAAATTTCACAGATATGTAGAATTTTGAGGCCAGGAAGAACCATTGGCTCTTGCTAAGCTGACTCCATTCTCCCTTCCCCACATCCTTCCTCCTCCGTTCCCCTTTTCTTTTCCCTCTCCCACTTTAAAATGGCTTTTTATGTTGATTCCTAAAAGCATAAATTTGGCACAATGTATTATCACCAGAGACTTAAAACAGAAGCGTGCATGACCATGAGTAGATTTTAAATTGAAAAGCGGTTCAAAGGTGAGAAACAGAAGCAAATACAGGATGTTATTTTAGAAACATGCTCCTTGCCCACATTTTATTATCATTCTCGGCTTGCCCCCACCCCCCACCCCCTGCCACCTGTCTGTATTTACTGAGGGAAAATTTTTGGCTTCAAATGGCCATCTGGTTGAGTAGGCCCACAAAGCTGAGCTCCATGAATTAAGCATTATGTCATGTGGATTTATTTCCATACAGTTATTTCTGTTTTTTGGTCATCTTGGTCAGTTTTTCAAACCTGCAGTACAGTATGAAGTTAAGTGACACTTCAGAAACGTGACTTATGTTTGTCCAAACTGTGGTGATCGACCATCTCCTAGATCTATCTGTAACGGTCTGTTTCTTTGGTGCCTGTGATAGTTGTTTAATCTCACAAAGTATTGATATATTTAAATAAGAAATTACATGTGGCACCATGGTACCTCTTAAATACTCATTTTATAGTAAAGTACAGCAATAGAGAGTTTATAGGAGAGAAAAGAAACTTTTGTAGGCAATTTTTAAGTCCTTTATTTGGTAAGTGATTGTGAAGTCAGAGGTAACCTAGCAAGTAATTCAGATAGTGTTATTTCCTACCTATTTAGACAGTTATTTCATGGCTCTTGACTTAGAATCCTCTTTAAAATAACACTGCATTAAAGCCAGGATGGATTAGCTGGCTTTTCTGTGTTAACATCAGAACCAAAATGTATCATCAGGTGGGATGTGCCCCTTTCGTCACCATTAACATATTTGCATCACGAATCCGTATGTTCTCTGCCCCATTAATATCCAGACAGTCTTCTCTTTCCAACAGTAGCTGCAGGGGCACATCCTTCTGCCTATTTTAACATCATCGATTTCTGAAAAGGGAGGGAGATAACTTCATTCTATGCAGGTACAAATTGATATGGAAAGTTAAAAGTGACCTTTTAAAATATAAGTGACTATTAAAATGCTCAGAGATTTAGGTTTTGTGTATAGATTATGGAGCAACCTATTGGACTGTAGTTTCAGATTCAGACTCTCAAAGATCAGCTTTCTATACTTAAGATAAAATAAGCCCCGAGGGACCAGCACTAGTTCTCCCTGCTGCTCAGGGCTGGACAATAAATGTCGAAAGATTTCACAGCTACAAGACCAAACACTGGGTCACCATGAGTCAGGAACAAGCTGATTCTGCCAATATCTCCACAACTAAATAAACCAGAGAAGGGAATAAAAGTGGCAGAATGTAGACATCTGGGGACAGGAATGTCACCTGTCTTATCCTGCTGTTTCCCCAGAGCCTAGAAAGCACCTGTTACCTGGTAATCACTAAAAAATATGTGCAGAAATAAATGAAAGAGCTTCACTGGACAATAAGCACGAATAGTGTGGAAACTTTGATAACCTTAAAGCCGGGGTCTAGCAGACTCATTTCTTTTTCACTGAGTTACAATGGACATATATTAATTTCAGGTGTACAATGTAATGATTCAGTATTTGAATATATTGCAGAATGATCAACACAATAAGTCTAGTTAACATCTGTCTAGCAGACTCGTTATTAACAGGACCGTTTAATACTCTGTGAACTTAAATATTTCAGTCATAAATTTAAGCCACACCCGTCAGAGCCAAACTTCTCGAAAGCACTGTCTCTACTTCGTCACCTCTCATTTGCGCAACCCACTGCAATTCGTCTTCAGTCCTGTCACCCCACTAAATGCTCTCACCAAGGCCATTAATAACCTCCTTCTCGAAACACGCTTTTTCTCAGCATCTGTGAAACTGCACCCACCCGGTTCTCCTCCTGCCTCCCTGGCTCCTTTGCAGCGTTTCTCTTCAGCTACCTGTTCTGGAAATGTTAGTGTTCCTCAGAATTTTGTCCTGAGTCGTCCTTCCCTTTTCAATACCCATTCTGCCTTCGACATCACTTGTCCTCAAAATGCCGGCCATGCCCAAATCTTTACCTCTCTAAAAGCTCCCGAGAGCCCTACCTCTGCTCACTTAGCGTCTTCCTTTGCTGTACCCCAGACACTTCAAACTCCCCATTGCTTTCTCACCAAATCTACTCCTCCTTCCTTCTCCCTTTCTGAGAGGACCGTTGGCATCAACTAGCTAGCTGCTCGAGCCAGTAACCTGGGCAGCTTCCTCCACATGTCCCTCTCTGGGCCCATCCACGTCATCACCAGGATCTGATGACTTTCTCTCCTGAGTGGCCCTGAATCCATTATGGTTACGAGTGTGGGCACTGGCATGAGACTCTCTGGGTTCAAATCTCAACTCTTGCGCTTAGTAGCTCTGTAACCTAAGGCAATTTACTGAGTCCCTTTGTGACCCAGCTTCCCCATCTGCGAAATAGAGAGATAGGTCCTGCTTCATAGCATCGTCGTGATTTGAATGAGTTAATATGTATAAATATTAACTCGGCTTAGAACAGTGCCTAGCACTTCCAGAGGCGCAGCGAATAGTAGCTATGATCTCCTCTTCCTCCTTCCCCACCCCCCCTCCTCCCCCACCATTTTCTCCTCCTCACCTCCACTTTTGCTGCCCATCTGGTCATGTTCCTCTCCCATCTGGATTACTATAATATATCCCCAATAGTCTTTCCACTTCCGTTTTTACTCCACCTCCTCCACCCATCTATTCTCCATGTAATAGCTGGAGGGACCTTTTAAAAATGCAAATCTAATCATTAACTCCCCGGATGGGAACCTTCCAAAGGCTTTCTATGGCTCTTCAAATCTTGACCTTCAAGGCCCCACCCACATGAGCTGGCCCCTACCCGCCCTCCAGCCCATAGGTGCTGTTCTCCCCTCTCTCTCTGCTCCAACTGCACTGGCCCTCCTGTCCTGAAACTTCTGGGCCTGCCGTCCTTTCCGTCTGAGATGCTCCGTCCTACTTCTTGCCTAGCTCGCACTCCCTAGCAAACTCGGTGTCATTTCCTAAGGAAAACCTGGCCTCCCAGACCGGGTTATGCCCTCCCATAATGACACTCCCTCGAAGAAGCCTATAAGTCTCCATAGCACTTACTGCAATTAGGGGTCACTCATTCAATATCAGTCTTCCCACCCTGGACTGCAAACGCCACAAAGACGGGGGCCATGCCCACCTCGCTGACTGCTCTACCACAGTGCCCAACGCAGCACCTGGCTTGGAATCGGGGTGCAATCATTGTTGAATAAATGAATTTAAATTCCCAGGGGCTCATAACTTTGGTCCTTACTTAATTTAGCTAGGTTCTTTTCTTTTTTGTCATGTTGTAGAACTGCTTCTGAATCAGGTGTCTGTCAAGCTAACTCCCTGTGAATAACGAGGACAGGATCACTGAAGCCAGCTGATGGCTGCATTATTTACGCCCAGAACAGGAGGGTTGTGAGGGCATTGCCACCCATACAAAGAGTCCCTTCAATCTGAGAGAAGCATCTGTGCCTTTCAAACAATGGAGATTAGGTTAAAAAGAGAACAAAAGCAATTAATTCTACTAAGATAATTCGAAATATGGCCAAGTAACAAAGGATTCTATCACAGCACATGGATTTATCTTTTATGTGCAGGTCGGGGATCAAGAATCATGTTGCCTGAAGCAAGGGACAGGCAGAAGTTCGTCAGTGATGTTCAATATCTGCGGGACATGCAGCACAAGGTAGAATCTGAATATCAGGTAATCGCAGAAAACAAGAATTATCTTCCACTTTCGCTTCCAGTATGAGAGAATTCAGGATACAGTATCAATATGTGATAAACAGTTTTCTGTAATCCTAACTCACCACTTAAGCTGCGTGACCATGGAAAGCCACGTTACCTCTCTGAGTCTCAGTTTCCACGTCTGTAAAATGCGGATAATAACAGTACCCACCTCATAAGTGTATCGTGAAAATGAAATAACATTGTAAAAGTATTTAGCACAGAGCTTGTCACACAAACCTTGCCAATACATGCGATCAGTGCTTATATTTGATCAACCAGCTATCGAGAAAAAAGACATTAAAAAAGACATTAAAGAGTTAACCGGGTCACCCTCCCATCTATAAAATAACTTGGCCTTCCATTGTCATCCCCCCAGAAGAAAGGTGGTTAGCACATTCTACAGTAAGCTAACTATTCGTCACCCTAGTTACAGTGTTTACATGCACAAACAAAACAGAGAGCCTGAGGAGCCATGATGCAATTACCCAGAGCTGGCACAGGACAAACTTGCCAGACTGGGTGTGGGATTCTGGGAGCAATTAGAAAGTGTCATTCAGCCCACCGGCCGGAGGTCACCCGCGCCAACTCAGGAGGCATGTCCTCAGCGCCGGCTAAGGATTGAAAAGTGCTCCTTCCCTAAAGAAAATACAGAACTGCTGTTATCCAGTTTTTCTCCTCCTTAGCAATTTCAAATATAACCGAACCTCCTGGGTCACCAAGGAAACCAGACCTATCTCGGTGACCTGATTTCACCTGTATTACACAGCTTAGCTTTGGGCTGGAAATGGAGTCAGCAAAATTCCTCCCACAACTTGCCAACACACCTACAAGACTATAAAACGGAGGGAATTCCTATAAAATAAGACCATAAACATTTGAACGGGTCTTGTGCTGGGATGCATATACTTTTCACAAAGATGCCTCTGCCGCCCAGCCCATGTTTCAAAATACTCAGTTCGACTCTGTCTCCAGAACAGGCATGTAGGATAATCATTCTTATTTTATAGTCTTTGCTGGAAAAAATCACATAACCGTGTGGCTTGTAGCCTTTGCAATTTTATTTTCTAATCTCTGTTGGGCTTTTAACACTGTCCTTATTAATGAGGACCTTTTCAACACTGTCCTTATAAATGATAACATTGAAGTGCCTGCTATGTCTTGAACAAAGTTCCTTGCCCCCCGGAGTTCTCATCCTAGGATAGAGAAACAACACACACAAGTAAATGAATATGTAAGGTAGTTTCAGTTCCTGATGAATATGAGGCAGATAAAACAGAGGCAATAGGGGTAGGAGTGATAATCCTTTACACAGTCAGGGAAGGCCTCTCTGAGGAAGACACTTTGGCCGCGGAAGTAAATGATGGGAAAGAGCCAGCCAGAGCATCCTGAGCAGGAGGAATGCAAAGGCCCTGAGGCAGGAACTAACTTGGCTCATTGGAAAAAACAAGGCCAGAGTGGCTGAAACACACGGACCAAGGGAAAGTGTGAAGAGGTGGATATGGCCGGGTGAGGTCCGGTATTTCAGGACAAAGACTGACATTTAGATTATTCTTAGCACGATGAGAGTTATTAGCTGATTTTAAGCGGGCAAGTGGTATGGTCTGATCTGCATGTTTAAAAGATCTCTCTGGCTGCTGGGTGGAAAGAGGGCAAAAAAGGGCAAGAGAAGCAGCAAAAAAAAAAACTAGTAAAGAAACAACAATAGAATAGAATAGAAATGATGGCGGCTTGGGCCAGGGTGGTGACAAGGAGCGGCCCAACCCAGGAGACAGAAGCGGCACAGGCGTCTTGCTGATCAGTGGAGAGGAAGGGGAGCGAGGGAAAGA